CATACGATGTATAGTTTAATTAAAATGATATTAAATATATATAAACTAAAATTATTTCTTCATATGGTCTTATAATCATTATATTTTAGTATAGAAAAAAAAATTAAAACCTTGATCTTAAAATTTTATGTGGGACTTCTAACAGTTTTAGTAATTTATACTCATTTTGAAAAATTCGAAATACAACATACACAAAAAATCTATATTTTAATTATATGATTAATGTAATTTTGTAATTATTTTAATAATAAAGAAATAAACAAAATGAAAAAAAAGTATACAGATTGTTATCAAATCTTTATGTTTAAAATCATTAATTCTCATATATATATTTTGATCACATTAGGTAATTCCGTAGGTTTTATTTAAGGAAAGCATACGAAACAATAAATATTTGATATATGCGACCAACTATAGCCTACGGAATATTATATTGCTAGAGAATAGAATTTTTAAACTATACATTATATCACATGCTCTAGAATCCTTGGAATTTGAAATAGAAGCCAAAGAGCTATGCAACGTAGGATTGGGGTTATTTTTAATTCTTACAAACTTAAGGTTACAACTTTTTAAATGATTCTCAAATAATATATAGGGGATGTGTTCTAATTCTTCATACTCTCACAACACTTAATTTTCTGATTCTCTGTTCAACCACAAACTTACTCGGTTATGCAAAACTCAATGAAAAGACCCTACTAAAATGTTAAATATACATCAAATTTCACATATAATACAAATCGAACCATTTGATACATTTTGTTACAACAATAAAAAAACTCGCGCTGTTCAAGCGCGGGTCAAAATTTAGTTCTCTTTTATAGTCCAAGATCGTTGCAATATTGAGAGAAAACTTTAATAAGGAAGATGAAGTTGATAAGTATAGTTATTAAAATGCTGCGATATGTAGGAGATATGTTTCTTATGACATTATTTTCCCTGTAACGTAATTTGTGGTTAAAATATTGTAATGTTGAAGATTTTACTGAGATTATTCCTTATATTGATTCACGTTAGAGAAGTTTAAGAATATTTATAATTTAGAAAGATGAATATGTGGTAATGTAGTTATTAGCCTCCACGAATTTACTGGGAAATAATATATGAGGCATGAACTAATTAATAAAACCTATTAGAATTGAATAACTCATACATTACAATCAAGTTTTGGGTTAATTATTGAACAAAACTTGGGTTCACCCCTGTGGTGAATCCTCTAATTCACCTCAATTCTTAATACCAATGAAAATGACAAATAGGATAAGTAAAAAAAGGAAATAAATTTTTTTTTAAAGAAAAGAAAATAAATGAAAAAGGACCTCGCCGTTAGTGGGGAAGAAAACGTGACCTTTGATTTATCTCTTAGTTTGAGCTTCACATCCACGCCTTCTCCCTTATGGAATCAAGCTCTATGCCATCGTTGAGTGTGACATGCTGATGGAGTTTGTGAAGGATTTTAAAGGCACTGCTCAGATTCTTGAGAAAGGTGGTTATGTCACTGATTTTGAAAACAATGGAAAAGACGTGGTTGTGGAACACCTTGGCTCTGGTGGGATTATGTCTCTGATTTTTAGATCAGATGTCCCATGAAGGAGAAGAAATACAGCAAAGAACTTGCAAGTCTATATTTTAAGAATACATTACAAGTCTGTAGTTGTGACCTTTCTACATTAGAGATCACGCCACTTGCATCAGTGAGTTCTCATGAACTTGCAAGTGTATATTCTAAGAATAAATTACAAATAGTGTTTTTATTCAAACAAGTTGTAGTGTCTGATTTCCAATTGCCATTGGTTTCTTTTGTTGAGATTTAGGCAAGACTGGTTCACAAGTAAAGTCATCTTCTTCCTCCCTCGGGACTGCAAGTTTGAAACCCATAACATCATCTTCTTCGTCTCCAACAACTCTGCTTTTGCAGACACAAGCTGCTCTTTCTATCTCTTCTGTGGGCCGTGAAGAAGTAGAAATCGAGGAACGGCGTTAACAAAAACACACGTTTTCTTCCTTGGTTAACGGCATGGCCTTTTTAACCTTTTTTTTTTTTTTAATTTATTTCCTTTTTTACTAATCCTACATGTCAATTTAGTTGGTACTAAGAGTATAGGTGAATTAGAGAATTCACCACATGGATTGAATCCTAGTTTTGTCCGTTGGGTAAACAAATTTATTGTTAACATATTCTTTTAAATAGTGACTCAACGGTTTAGTTTTATTCTGATTTATTTATTTTAAAAATGAAATATTAACTCAGTGGCATGAGATAGTAACTTTTTAGAAAAAAACAGGGCAATTTCAAATTTGTACTCATGTTTTAATTGTCGGGAAAATTTTTTTTAAGACAGAAAAAAATGGTAACTATGTCCTATTAGGCTAATCCCATATATTTTATGTTCTATTAGATTAAATATTTCCAAAAATGCAAGAATGCCTTTAATTTTAATTAAAATTTTGAAATTACATTTACAAAACAATAATTAAATATTAAAATATAATAAATAATTAAAGTGTTGTCAAAAATAAATAAATAAATAAAGTTACTAAAATAAAAGAAAGCATTAAAAATTAAAGTGTTGTAAAAAAATTAGAGTGTTAGTCAAAAAAAATATTAAAGTAATTAAAATATGCACGTTTTATATTTTATTTTATTTTAACTTTTTCTGAAAAATAATATAAGAAACTAAATATTTCCAAATATTTTTTTACCATATTTTCGGAACTGATTGTCCTTATCCATAGAATATGTATTCTAACATATGTAGAATACAATAATAATGTTTGAAATCAATTTCTACAGGTTACAGATTTAGAATAATGTGCAGATTCTGATTTCTACTGATTTTAATTCATAAGTAATATGTTGATTCCGATTTTTATTTATTTTAGACGGATAGGTTACACGTGGAATGTGTATTCCAGATGATTTTGGATTAATATTATATAC